GCTCCTCTAAGAGAACCCACAGCAGCAGGAGAACAACAACACTATTTTTTCCTCTCCACTTGTTTTTGTGTTGTAACAGTGTTCAGGTGATCAGGTGAACTACCCATGCTCACATGCTCAGCATCACACTGATTCATTTCAGCTAGTGCTAAGTTGACCACCAGTTGTCAATCCACCGTAACTTTTTTTGGGAGATATATATATATATATATATATATATATATATGTATACACACATGCACACACAATATAACTAATGAAATAAAAGATCAAAAACAAAACAGTTCAGATGAAATGATTTTTAAATAAAAAGATTAGTGTTTGGAATATAAAATTAATTGAAACAAAAGTAAAAATTAAATAGCTTATAACATGAAGTATACATGAATTCACAAAGACAAAAATTTAAACAATGCTAATTCATTAAAATGTAAGGCTAATGTAATTTAATACTTAAACTATAAAGCAATTTAAAATGTTTAGTCATTATAAACTAAAGGAACAGCATAAAAGTGCCAAAAAGTATCATATGACTCTGAAGCTAAGGAAATTGAAGGTAGCATATTCAGATCTCTCATCCAACCCTGTGAATTAATGGAGTCAAAGAGCACTGCTTAATAGCATTTTTACAGCTAACAGTGAAGTTTTCTGTACATGCAAAGTTATACTATCCTCCTGTTTCCCCTCCTTTCTTTATAGAAAAATAGTTTTCATTGCCTGATAACATCCTTTCAGAATACCTGTGGCTGGTAACAAAAATGGACTACTTCTCTTGCAACTTTTGCTGATCACGTAGATGTTTTGCAGTGTTCCTGAGCAGCCAAAAAGGAAAGGTGGAATCTCAGTGAAAGTGTTCCAAGTGTATCATTTGCATTCAAATGAATAGTCAAATGGGATAACTGACATTGTGTCCTATCTACCGGGAGCAAAACTTACTTCTTGTGCTTTGATCTCATTCATAACAACACTTTTATTTTTCATTGACTAGTAGTTTTTTCAGAGGAGATGAGTTGTGGGCCCTATTTATATTTAACTTTTATCTTGCTAAGGAGACAATATCTTGCACAAAAACTCAGAAGTTGCTGCATACCTGAACTGGCAGTATTCTAGGAAACTAAGGTGGAATGATCACAAGTTGAATCTTGCCTGGGCATCTTAGCAAAACCTTGTCTCAAAAACAAAACAAAACAAAACAAAAATTGTTTTCAAAGGGTTTGGGATGAAGCTTAGTGCAAATGCCCTGGTCAATCTTTAGTAAAACACACAGACACACACGCATGCGTGTGCACACACACAATTTTTTTCATGGCAAGTTTTACTGATTATTATTCCAGATTCATTTATTTGAAACAGTACCATGATCTGTTTTTACCCACACTTCTAACACTAGTTGGGCTTTTTGCCTCCTCTACTTAACAAACTGTTCTTTGATTTTGTAGGCTAGTGATGGTGTACCATTTAGAGCTTTCAGTGATTGCAAATAGCTGGCCATAGGTTTCAATGCCTCTGCTCTAAGAACTCAATGAGTGTCCTACAATTCAGTTCACTTATCATGCTTGGAATTCACACACAGATAAAGGTTTAAGTTTTTAAAAAGTGCCCTCACTTCAGATACCTTTTGACAAGTCCATCTTTTCTATGATCAACCAACTATAAATTGGTGTTTCCAATGACCACTGCTACAGATTTGGTAATTTGCCTTAGTGGCCCTAAAACGGACTTTGTTTACTATTACCAACTTATTATACTAGGTTCAACTCAAACAGCTAAAGAGAAGAGGTGTGTAGAGCCAGGTATGGGAGAAGGGACATGATGCTTTCATGTTTTTCTGTACATGCAAACCTCAGATAATTTCAGTTGACTATTGAAATCTTAAAAACATTAATAACAAACCCACTATTTAGTTTTTTTTTTTTTTTCAGGGGAGGTTTCATTACATAGGTGTGATTGAGGAAATCATTCACCCTTGATGATTAGTCCCAATTTCTAGCCTTTCTGGAGAAATCTGGGAATAGGGCTAAATGTTTCAACTTTAATCTTAAAGATAATTCCTCTGGCAGCCATTTTCCATTCTGAAGTTGTATATGTGCCCACCAAATACCATTTTATTAGTGTAAATTCTGGTATAATTTAAGGAGGTTTAATGCATAACAAAAGATATTCATGCCACTGAGGAAATTCCAAGAGTTTTAGAAGCTCTGTGTCAAGAATTGGAGACGAGTATCAAATACTTCTCTATATGTAATCACAAATACTTTCCAAAGTAAATCCTACTCACTTTGACTATTTGTTTTTCCTAAAAGTGATATAAAAATAACAATACTTTTTAAAGGAAATTGTCCACATACAAAGTGACAGCTACTCCTTTTTTTTTGATCTCACAAATTGATGTAACAAACAGACTTTTAAGGATGTTCATATAGGAAGCATCGTATAAGGTCAGGAAAAAATTGAAAATAATGTGTTAATATAGATTAAAAGCAAAGTCATCTAAAAGATGACTCAACAGAGGCTGGAGAAATAACTAGATTAATTATTTCATGTAATTTTAGGATTCAAGAAGCAGCATCCTCAAAATACGAGGTTTTGGCACGCTGAGTACTTTGGACAAAAAAAATTGAAAATTGAGAAATTGTCTTAGAGTCATGCTTTCTCAGCCATTCCTGGTTTCTGGCTCCCAAGCTCAGAGAGAGGGTGTCTCTGAAGTTTTCTTATTTGACTGAAGGAAAGTTTAAAAGCAACAACAACAACAAAAACAAACGAACAAAAAGCAAACAAAACCAGGAGCAATTATCTTATGTTCCTTCCCTAAAATCTCATTAATCTGAAAGATTAAGTCATAGAAAAGAAGACTAAAAGATGTCTGCCTGTGTCTACCTATTTACACTAAAGGCATAATGTATTCTTTTGAAGACTGACACCTGACAGTCTCCTTCGTGGTAAGACATCTTTGTTGTAATGGAGGTCTGTTCTTCACGAACTTTGTCCTAGGCTAATGTCTGTTTAGGTCCATTACTCCAAAAAATGGCTTATTGCCCTTGGAACATTGCCTATAGCTCTCTCTTGTGAATTTTTAGAGTAGTAAAAATTAAAGCATTTAAACTAAATATAGCCAGATATAATGGTTCATGCCTGTAATCCCAGGATTTGGGAAGGTAAGGCAGGAAGGCCACTGGGATATCTAGGCCAGCCTGCACTATAATAGTGATTTCAAGGTCAGATTGAGCTACATAGCAAGGCTTTCTTTGAAAAGCAAAATAAAACACTTTTAAAAATCCATAAAATATTAAAAATATTCTTTCGTAAGGTGAAAGACGTGCTCACACCCACTGTTTGAAAAAAAAAAAAAAATAGAGGTATATATTGCTCACTGGTCCCTCTTAGTACATTTCCCAAATCCTGAGATCTTGAAAAGAAGACATGAAGATACAGACAGACAGTGGGTCTTTGTTCCTTATTGGGGCCTGGGTTTAGCTGTGTGAATGTTATATCAGATCTGTGAAGGTGAGAAACAAACTTTTCATCCCACAGCCACCGATAAACATAGTTAGGCAGTTCATCATTGGTCCTTGCATACATCCAGGAATAAAACAGTAGCAAAGAAATAATTTAAAAGTTAATCTTTTGTGTTTATTAGAGTTGTTAGGTATTTTTACATATTTGACCATAAAACTATTTGAACATAAAACTATTATCTTATTTTTAGTAGGAAATATTTCACTCAGCTGTAGTAGATATTTAAATGACTAGAACAGATGAATTTTATTTGCATATTATTTCTATACAGCTGAAAGAGCCTTGTAAATGAATGCAACACCATGGTGTTAGGGGACTAGAAAAAGAAACTTGGGAACTGATAGATTATTATCAAGGTAAAGGTACTTATTCCCTAGCTGGCAAATCCTACCTATTCTAGCTTTTATTATCCCTAGGATAGTGTTCTATTTATTTCAGGAGTACAGAAGTTTTAATTGGGTATGTCATGTTTCAAAGACAAAAGAAATGCCTAATTCACTCTAACAAACTTGTTAGTCACTGTTTATACCAAGAGGATTTCTACTCTACAGAGAATAATATTATTTTCCTTTTTCTTTGTTGATAAATCAAAGTTTTACACTGACCTACAGCAGTCAAGCATACTTTAAAGCAAAATCATGTCAGTCTAACAGAGATATATCCTTTCAGCTTTATGTTTTCTTTTTGTCCCCATTTTTAATGTAATATTTTAAAAATCAGTCAGTAAAAAAATTTGTTTCTATTTCATCTGATAAGAAAAATAGTTATAAGTTTTGATGAATTTTAATTTTGATATTAAAAGATACTTTGTGATTAGATTTGTTTCTTTAAAGTTGTTAAATTACTTGGAGATTTTTAGTTGGTTGAAAAGGTTTTGATAGTAAGTTGCATTTTCAGTGTTCAAATGATTTGTATAAACAACTTCACCATTATACCTAGGCTTCAATTTGTTATGAAGTCACAGATTTTCTAGAATTGTGATTTTTATGGTTTATCCTGCCCAGTGGATCATCTTTCACTTGAACAAAAGGTTTTAGTAGGGGGTATTAGACTTTCAGTCTACCCTAATTCTGTTACTGTTTGCTTTGTTCAGCAGTCACTGTGATCCTCCTGGCAGGGAACAAGATTCAGAGAACAAAACTAGTAGTGACTGTGTAGATAAAAAGGCAAAGAATTCTGCTTTCAAGGCAAAGAGGGAATAGTCTACAAAAGAATGAAAATGGGAATAAAAGTATAGCATTGTTAACCCACATAGCTATTGTACTTTTGAAAATCTTAATACTGTAGAAAAAATATGACACTACAAAGATACATAATTATATGACTTAAAATCTTGGAAAAGGTCATTGTTTGGTTCCTTATATGGTAAGAAAAAGACTACATAATTTATAATTGAAAAACCATAGAACCCTGTTCCGTAAAGTGACAGGACAATGTTTCAGCAGTATATCAGGTACCATAATGTATAATTTATTGCCTTCCAGAACAACTCTTTAGATACCATGAAGATGATGGGGTCAAGAAGAGTACTTCAGAGAAGAATGGGAAAGAAATATCAGAGCAGACCTTACAGAAGGTAGTGTAATCTTTAAGATATTGAGCTGAACAAGTTAAATCTGAATTTTAACATAAAGGATTATATTTTAAAACGAGTGCTCATAAATTTAAACCTTGTGTGAATCCTTAATTTAAATTCATAATTCAGAATCATTGGCTTGCCAAAATAGGGTAAAAAAATCAATGTTACTAAAATAAATGTGTAAATACTTGTCCTTCCATTGACATAGATTAAAAATATTTTCAAAGATGAAATGAAATGAAAATAATAGAAGTTCACAAAATCAGACTATATTTTCTTATTAGTTATAACTAGCCATTTAAGTTTAAAATGTTTCATGATGAGACTATCTTAAACTGTAACAAGCATCAATATTTACACTATTTTAGCTTAAAAACCTAATCATGGTAAGATAGTAAAATGATAATATTATAATTTTAAACTTGAAAATATACATGGTACATAATTCATTTCATATAAAAGTTTATGTCGTGCGATTTAATATACTTTTCCATTTTAATAAGAACAATCCTATCACACTTGTAGTCACAATATACCATGTCTATCATTAATAGTAAACTACGACTTCAAAGTGTAAAATTTGTCTTTATAATTTTCTACTTAATTCATACTTTTATATATAAATAAACTTTTTAAATTCAGTGAATTGTATTAACACTTTTTAATAATATCATAAAGAAAGCCATTTGTAGTTTATTCTTATAACTGACTGCCATTTGGCCACACTGGATTAGTTTTATTTTTTAATAATTCTTTAGAATAGAAAGCTAGAAATCCACAAATATATAAGGAGAAAATTAATATGTGTACTTATATCCCTTGCAGCTGTGAACTGATCTGTAGAACATACAGTAATTTATAACAGTTGATGTGTCTCCCTGAGTGTTCTAACATTTGCCATATGGTCAGGTAACAAAGGCTGTCATCTCAGTATTACTGAATGACACATAACCAGTAAACATGCCATAAAAAACAAAAAATGCACAGCTTACATTTATTTTAAGGTAATATGAATAATTGAAATGATCTGTGTACTTTCGGGTAAGATACCATATAGTTTATATTAGCTAATTTTTGTTTCAAAAAATTTTTGTTTTATTTAGCTTTTAAATTAACATGTTACTCTGTATTGCCCTAGAATGGAAACCCTAGTGAAATTTATTATTTCATTCTAACCACTATAAATGACTAATACTATGATGGATACATGAATCTACTTTAAGGCCTAGAAAGCCAACAGGAATTATTTTTCATTGAACCATATGTCAAATTAGCATACTAATTTGTTGCTGTTTTTTACATTAATCTAGTACAGTTGTATCTGTCACAATTTAATTACTCATGGTTGAATTTCATTATTTACTTATTTTTGTGATACTGGGGAACCCAAGACATCCCACATGCCAGCAAACATTCTATCTCTGAGCTATATCCATGCCTATTTTTTTTTAATTTTATGAAGAGGTACATGAAACTCATTCAAAATAGATGTAAAAGATAGTAAGAAGATGAGAGCAATATTTGCATATATTTATAATTAAATATATAAGCAGTTCCTTTTAAAATAATGTATTAATATTTCACACTTACTGGCTGAATTATGTTCCCCTGAATCTTTAAATTCTAACCTCCTCAATGTCAGAATTCTATTTAGAGTGAGTCTTTAAAAGAGGTACTTAAATTAAAAGGAGGTTATTAGGGAAGGCCCTAATTCAGTAAGTTTTGTTATAAGAAGATGAAATAAGGACACAGACAAACATAATAGAAGACCATGGGACATAGGAAAAGTTTGCTGTTTACAAGATAATGAGTGAGTCCTCAAAGGAATGAAGCCTGCTGACACCTTGTTCTTGGATTTTCAGACTTTAGAACTATAAGAAAATAAATTTTTGTTAAGCCCCTCATCCCCCCCACTGTGATACATTTCTATAGCAGACCTGTCAAACTAATATTTGCTGCTCATAATGCCAGCTGTCCTATTCAGTTTTGAAAAGAACTCTCTTTGATGAATTACATCACTGAAAAGAAAGTGTGTATTTGAGCTGACTTGAAATGAAATACACAAACCAAATACCTTTAACAGTTCCCAGACTTTCATTCTTAAAATCAGTTCAGCAGTTTTTTAGTATACCTTTCATAATACTTTAATAAGTGCTATAGGTTTGTCATTTTCAAAGTCTTTAGAAGTCATATATTTGCCTTGTCTGTCTTCCATTTTAGACAAAAATAATTTTGACCAGTTCCTAAATTTGAACATAGATTTACATTAGGAAGTTAATAGACTAATGCCATAGACATGTTTCTTTTGGTATTTATAGGTACAAAAAGGTGGGAGGCTTTTTGTCACCCATGAGTTACAGCCAATACTTATTTAACAAAAGACAGGTTGATAAGGGAAACCTGTAACAAATTCATTTAATTGCAGTTTTATATGACGTATGAGGCATCAGAAATGAAGACCTAGGATGAAGTATTCATTTTTATGCTTAGGCTCTATAAGAAGGGACAGCTGTGTTGAATGTGATTGAAATAAATGATGTGATCCAATGATGACAGACTGAGAGAGAAACCCAAGAAAGACCCGTTTCCTCAGGGTTTTCTTCGCCTTACTATGTAGCATTCCTGTCCCTGGGATGGGGAGATGCCTCTAAATGAGCATCTTCAAGGGTGAAAGCAGAAGAGGGAGAGCAGCCTTTCTAGGAAATGAGGAGCTCTTGTTTCAGTGACTTGCCAGGTCAAATAAAACTTCTGAGATTCTCAGTTTTGGTGAGAAAGGATGAAAGTTATGAAGTTAGAAGGTTGGAGAGACCTTGCTTCTGAGACCCTTCCATTGCCCTGCAGTTCAAGTCCTCACTATGCCTAAATACCATACCACGCTATGAGCCACAACATACGTAAAAATTTTATTAACTATACTGAAACTTAAATAGGTTTTAGTCAATAGAAAAAATACTAATTTCCAGAATAAACCACTGATTTAAAATGTTTTTACAGGGCCAAGTGTGCTGGTGCATGCCTAAAATCCCAACACTTGAAACGTTAAGGCAGGAGGCTCACTCTGAGTTCTAAGACAGCCTGTGCTACATAGTTCATAGGCCAGCCAGAACAACATAGCAAGACCCTGTCTCAAAAAAAAAATTAATTAATTAATTAATATTGGTTATATTTGTTCATAGCATGTTTTATTTTTTATTAAAACTATTGAGTTTATTTAAAAACTAATTTAGCATGTAGGATAAATATCATAGAAACAATTTTAAAGTAAGAGATATGATAATTATTGATGATGCAAATAGTAAATTATTTAGTACTTAGAGTCTGCCAGAAAGTTTTGTTTATCACATTTAATACAAAAAGTCTGCATTATTGCTTCTGAGTCACAGATTTGGAAACTAGTGGTACAAGATATTAAATATTTTACTACCTAAAGCAGGATGAGTTACAAGAAAGATATAGACATGACTCAATCTTATTTTCTCTAGACCACATTACTTGTTAATATTTTTCTACCACTCCCAAGTGAAATTTTTTAAAATGTGTAATTGTTTATATAAAAGATATATTAAAAATAGAGTCTGTTTTACTTACCCTACCCTGGAAGCTAGCTTGCTAAAGTGTTTTATTTAAACATATGCATGAAAAATACACTATTTGAGGCAGTGATTAAAAATCCACCAACGGAAACTAAATATAGGATAAAAAGATAATAATTCCTTTTTGTAATACATTTTATTAAACTGGGAAAAAAAGTTGAAGTAGAATGATTTGGAAGAAATAAAAAGGTTCATCCAGAATTTTTTTCCTTCAACACTATTTTTTGTCATGCTTACCATCTTTCCAATAAAATTTGCAGTGAGAAGAAGGAACGGAATTTCATTCATAGAAATATGCGGAGGCCTATAAAAATTGGGTACCAATTTCATGTACCTCCATTCTAGACAAAAAATTTGATCCTGAAGGACATAAGACAAGTTGGTTTATCTTGAATTGTGGAAAAGAACTGGTTAAAGTTAGCTGAGATTTTTTTACATTGTGTTAGTAGGATAGAATACCAAATCGTGTCTTTGGATAGGATAACCAATCAATAAATAACTATTTAATTAGATGAAATTACTTAAGCTCATAAGAAAAATAGTACGGAACTATAGATAAATCAAAGATGACTAACTCATGATTAGAAAACAAATCTTCATTATAAGTAAAATTCAATCAAGTAGAAATGTGTTAATACATCACATACATATGTTTTATTCTGTGCTTTTTTATGAAAAGTTATTATGTTAAATCATTGGTTTTTGTCTTAGTTCTTTTAGGCTGTGACAACTAGATACCAAAAAACTAAGTAACTTGTAAACCTCAGAAATTTACTTCACATAGTTCTAGAGGCTAGAAAGCTCAAGATTAAGGTGCCCAGAAATTTGATGTATGTTTTTTTGATGGTGACTTCTAGCTGGTCTTTACAAGGCAGAAGGAGAAAGGTAGCTCTTTGAGGTCTCTTCAAAAGGTATTTATCCTGTTCTTTAGGGCTCTGAACTTATTGTTTGATTAGCTTTTTAACATATGAATTTTACGGGAACACAAACATTTCAAACCATGGTAACTGTCAAAATATTAAAAATTTTTTCCCAACCTGCCCACACAAATAGGGGAAAAAAATATCTGTTTGATATAATTTTCTTTTTAAAGTAAATATGATTTTAATTCTTGTTCATACATATAATAAGTAGATATTATATTTATAAAATATGTCTTCTTTCTCAGATGGCTTACAGAATATAGTAGAGGCAAAATATTCTGAGTATGAGTTCCAGTTTGAAGTAGGAATTTACCTCTATGCATGTTACGTTTTCTGAATCTCTATTTTGGTTGTTGTTACTGTTGCTACTAGTATTCTAGAAAAATTAAAGGGTTAGTTTTACTTACCTTGTGGTTTTGGGATGATCAGGAGAGATCTCGTTTATGAAACTACTTTGTAAATAGTAAAATGTACATATTAGTAGTGCTTTTTAATTTTGAAAATATGTGTATCTACTTTTCCTTGAAATTTTTGTACTCATGATTTAGAATTATTATTTTTGTGTGTTCAGATTTAGGATGTTTTCTTTATTAGCTTTAGGCATGTAAACATTTGCTTTTCTTTACAGCATTTGGAGTTCTTCAAGGTCAAGAAGTGTACTTTACTACTACTATGTTCTATAACATGAACAGTATTAAAATAAATGGGAAAATGTAATGTGTATGCAACATTATAAGGCTTTTTTTTTAAGTGAAAACATTTTTACTGGATAGACCAAGGGCCAAATGATAGCCATAGTAGTCTATTTTGGGTTTAGTCATTTTTTCATGATCTTTGGATATCGATAAAAATATTATTTACCTTTAAGTTTTCCCATGTATCTAGTTTAAGACTTTTTATGTAAGCTGTTTTGCCTGAAGAGTTTTTTTCACAATGATTAAAATATATATGTGTGTATATATATAATATATATATATATAATATATTATATATATATATATATATATATATATATATATATAGAGAGAGAGAGAGAGAGAGAGAGAGAGAGAGAGAGAGAAAGAGCCAGAGTATTTAAGAATGTACGAAACTGCAGTTCATTAGGGTAGTTAATTCTCTGTCACTTTGTGTGAAATTTTAACTTTCTTTTGCCATCTGTCCATTATTCTACAGAAATGTTACTGCATTTTGAATGTATTGATCCATACCACCTTACAGTTTTTTAGAAATTAAGTTTCAAAGATTTATTTTTTTCTTGTACCAAATGTAATTTTTTTCTTCCATTAGTTAGAAATGAAAATAAAAATACAGTAGATTATGTTTTTGGATTTTAAAAGTTTAAATTAAACTCTTTTGTGTAGGTCATCGAGTTGGAAAATCGGCTAAAATCTTTTGAGAAAACATCAAAAAAATTAAAAGAAGGAAATAAACTATTATTGAAAGAAAATGATTTCTTGAAAGTCCATTTAAAACAGCATCAAGAAGATGCAGAGAACAGAAAAAAAGAGCTAGAACAGATACTTAAAAGGAGTAAAGATGTAGAAAAAGACAAAACTAAACTTGAAGTAAAAATCAGTGAGCTGGAGAGAGAAGTCACTTCCCTAAGGAGACAAGTGGCAGAAGCCAATGCGTGGAGAAATGCAGATGAAGAACCAGTGAATCCAGTGGAGAAATTAGAGCACTCTGCAGGCAAAGCTAAATCTGAGATGGCCACCACAGAAGTGAGATCTGGAAAATACAATTATAAGACAACCACTACCAAGGTTAAATTTAAAGCTGCCAAGAAAAAATGCTCTTTGGGTCCTCATCACACTGTTCTCAATCATTCCATCAAGGTTATGAGCAATGTGTTTGAGAACCTCAGCAAGGACACCAAGGACGGCTGGGAGGATGTGAGTGAGAGCAGGTAAGGCTCTCATTAACTTAGCTCTGTGGTGGGGACACTGTGCATATGTAAAGCACTGGCAAATGGAGATTGAATTTCAACTACTGTTGATTTGGTATTCAGAAAAAATACTGTCAGATCCTTTGAAATATCTTGGGAGGTCTTGTTCTGAGCTTATTGACTGAAATTTGCATGCAAAATTAGCCACAACTGCATGAGTATTTGAATAGATGCCAAGAAACCCAAAAGAAGGCAATGCTTGATTTCTTCTAGTGATGCTATTTTCATGCAGTCATGAGGCTTGAAATTGACAGTTTGGCAGGTTGATTTAATTTGCTGGCCCTTTGCATATTCACCACTGACAGCTAAGGATTCCCAGGCAAGCCTACCAAGTCGGTTTAGTTATCTTGTGACATGCCAACCTGGGAGGAGAAACATTTTTCCCCCTTAATTTAGTTAGATAAATTTTGAATGACCCATTTCAGCTTGTTACCAGATGTCTACAAGCTGTTTAACATCCTTTAAATTAAGAACCATCTTCACTAATTATTTCATGTATGTATTATGCAAAGTTATTGTACTAAGTTTAATTGAATGGTGGTTAAAAATTACTTCTTTAAAGTTACAGAGAATTTCTAGTTTTAAAAGTTATTTAATCCCTAGTGAATAGCAACAGGGGAATACTAAAAATCTGTGATATTTCTTTCTCATACGCCTGGTTGTATAGTCTTATACATTCTTGAAATACAAAGGCAGATGAATGTTACAACCCCTCTTTTATACTTAGACAATAACAAAGTTCATTGTTGCCAGAATTGTGTGCAGAATACCCAGTTTGTCATAGTTTTAAAAATTCCTCCATGTTTTATGGAGGAATTTCCTATTTTTCCTAATTTTTGTTTTGTTTGTAAAACCTCAATAGTGATTCTCTCTTAGATTTGGAAAAATTATACTTCTGTCAATCACAGACATAGAACTGAAAATTTTTTTAGATATGTGGTTCTCAAATTTGTATTGGAGAAGAAACATATGTACTGTTTTTTACCCGTTATAAGGATTATGGGGCCAGGGTGCAGTACCTGCCTGTCTAGTGTGAAGTTCTGAGTTCGATTGCTGGTACCAAATTAAAAAAAAAAAAAAAAAAAAAAGCAGGGAAGGCGTATGCCAAACATCTCTATAACAAGAGACTACAAGAAAGAAAGCAGAGTATAAAAGAGAAAACCAAAAGAAATTTATTTAACCAAATCTTTATATAACAGGAGAGACTGCAGACTGATGACACAGAGACTCAGGAAAACTTTCTAAATTGATGGTTTAGATTTGAGGAAGAATGCACAGTTATGTAGAAATGTGATTAGACAAAAAGATGTCATGTAATACAATAGACAAGATGAGAAAGTAAGTTCGTCTGTTTGGTTTCTTCATGGCCTCTCTACAAGTATTCCTTACTCTTGCATGTCAGAGTAGGACTCTTTCTAGAAGAGAGATCATCTAGTCATCTTCTGATACAGAGCCTAGAAGTCCAGCTCTTGCACTGAGAGGAGACGGAAGGTTAGAATAATAGGAAGTGATCAAATATGCAATGAAGTTTTTATTTTCCTCTGAGGCAAGGTCTTCTATGTCATTCTGGCTAGCCTTGAACTTACTGTGTAGTACTGGTTGCCCTGGAACTCACAGTGATCCTCCTGCCTTAGCCTCATGAGTGCTAGAATTACAGGCTTATGCCACCACACCCAGCTTAGTGAATGTGTAAATTAAAAATAAATTATTACAGTGTAAGATACATTGCCATTAATCCTCCTAGGAATACTCTTTGCTTCAAACATACTTATTCCATAGTTCTTATCATTTCCTTATGCAGTATTAGAAGTCTTCTGTATGTGTTTACAAAGTATAATAATTCACTACAGTGAATGCTGCTACCAAGTGCCATTCAAAGGAAATGCACTCTCGTAAAAACAGTATGATACGTCTTCATTCACTTTATTCACTATATCCAGCAACTATGCATCTTCTGGTCTTTCCCCAGAGTCAAAATGAGCATGAAAGGTAAACTGTTCTGAGTTGATTTAGGACATCAAGACAGCCATGACAGTGTAATAAAGACTTTCACAAAAGAGGACTTCTAGAACTTCTCCATAATTGGAGAAATTGGCAAAAATAATGGCATACGTGTGTTGGAAGGAAAGTGAGGGAGATATTTTGAGGGACAGTAACAGCAATGTATCTTTTATTGTAATAATTTTTAAAATTTTTTGAGCATTTAGAATTTTGAATGAATTTGATCATGCTGTATACATTTAAGTTTTATGGCTTGCTTTAGGGGAAGGAGTTTCTAATTTGTGTCACCTGCTCTGGGAACAAGAATTCTGGCTTCTGTGACTCCTTTTGGGGAAAAATGAGGGGTGAGAGACAGCAGGTAGAAGATTAGAAAGACCTTGCTTTGAAACTGCTTCTGAGGCCTTCCAGTGTCCTTTAGTTGAAAATACTCAGCATGCCAAAATGCCATGCTTTGGGATATTTTTTTTCTGAACCCCAGTACTTATCTGCGTATTATAATTACCTGGAGGTCTTATAAAAATTTTTAAAACTTAGGCTCTACTTCAGATCAATTATATTATAATTTTGGGAGGGATATGGGCTTCAGTACTCTTTGAGCTTCCTACTTAATACCATATAAATTTGAGGATCATTGTTTTAAAGATCAAGAAACTCAAAAGCTTTAAGAAACTCAAAATACAAATTTATAAAGATATGTCTGGCGGATCAAATCTTCATCCCCATGTACTTATTAACTCTTTCTAGATTCTTCTTTCCTGGTCTCAAAAGCATTTAAAGTTAAAATCCTACTTCAAAGTGACTAAGCATTTATCTGTATCTTCTAGGAAATTCTAATTTCAACTACAAATTTTGTATCAGTCATATAGAACCATTACACTATTCATAAAGCAGTGGTGCAGTTTGTGTATGACTTTGTTTCTTATCAGTAAATATGTGAAAAATAAGTACATGAAAGATAAAATACTTAGATCTAATTTTTTATATCTGCATAATATCTTATTTGGGGTGATTTATCACACTATATTTCTTAAAATACAGGATTGTCATTTAAGTTATTTAGCAGTGCAACTCAACTTTACACTGTAAAGATTAAATGTTACAATTTCTGCTTGACAGAACATTCTTAGGAATTATTCAGCTGTGAACAGTTCTCAAACAATTAGAAATACTGCTTGGAAATATTAGGAACATCAGATTTTCTTTTATATTTTAATACTCTAAAATATAAGAAATTTATTTGAATACTAGGCAAACTGGAATTTAGTCACATATATAATATTATATAATTATCCATTTATTATTAATACCTATTTCATAGAATTAGCAAGAGCTTCCCCATTCAGTAAAGGGTGGTAACTATCAAGAAGGAAAATAGAGTTTCAGTGTTACTAGAAAATTAAAGGGAAAGAGAATAAAAACTGTAGGTAAAAGCATAAAAATTTCTTAAGTAGACTATAAAATATGGCAAAGTATCCTACTTCAGAATATATTACATTATCATAAGGATTATTTTGAGCTGAAGAAAATAGAAAAAGAACAGATATAAGAAAAGCCCTTTGACCTCCCTTGTCCTAAAGTAGGACATAAATTCACAAAGGTCTCCCACTTCCCTTTAAACTAGTAAGGATAAAAGCCAATCATTGGCAATAACTTAGACCCTAATGGATCCCACTTAGCCTGGGCATGTCTCCAGAGGAATGTGTGCATCAAACTTTGCTAGCTAGCCATTGTATGTATTTAAATTTCCACAATATTTGTCTTTCCAAAGTTTGCTACATCTTGGGACTCAGTGCCCCCTACTATGTGCCCTTTCTCTTGTTTTTTTTTCTAAAATTTTATTGTTTTTGTTGAAGATCCTATATAAATTGGAATTCTAAATCACCTCTAAGTTATTACTGGATACTCTTCTGTTGTGCCTGTGTTGGATGTGTGATGCATGTGTCCGAAACTCAATTGGTTTTCCATTATTAGTCTTCTTTTCTAAGGGCCCCTGCTGAGAACTTCTAAAGGTAGGGTAAAATCATTTTTTTTCATCCATATAATTATAATTTCTACTTCTATTTTCTGTACTTAAATATCTCCTTAATTGTCTGGTTACTTTTCTCAAACACATCTTTTTTTTCTAAGAACAACAAAAAAGAACAAAAACAATAATAAAGAATTTTAAAACAATATAATAGAAGATTAACAATGGTTAATACATTGCGTATTTTTATCTTCAAAGTAGTTGCTCAGATTACAAGATTTAGGCTTGAAAAAATGATTAAACAGTGAAAGCGCAAACCTTTCTTTTTGATTAACACAAATTAGTAATGTAATTATCTTAATATGTACTTAATGTTATATATGTTTAATATATACTTAATCTTACATATTTAATATTCATATATTTAATTTTATATTACACATATTTTATATATTAAATCTTACATATATTTAGTATTTATATATTTTATATTTAGTATTTAATCATATATATATTCAATTTTTTCCCTTCTTTATTCCTTTCATGTATCCTAGTTGTTATTGTCTTTTGGTATTTTTTTCCTCTTTCACGTTTCCAAAATCTATTGTACATTTTGGATCTTATTTACTCATTCAGTTTTTGCAGTAGGGAGACAATACGAGGTTTACACATCCAAGTCTGATTTATTTCACTTGAGAATATGGTCTCAAGTTGCATTCATCTACCTATAAAAGCATCAACTTTATATTACTTTATAGCTGAGAAATACTCCATTGTATAAAAAATATAAAAATACCACATCTTTTTTTATCTGTTCCATTGTTGATGGGCATTTGTGTTCTTTCCAAGATCTAGCTGTTAAAAATTATGCTACAGTAAATGTGGGTACACATATACCACTGTTATATGATGTTTTCAGTTCTGGGAAAATACACAGAAGGAGGATAGCTGAATGAAATGGAGCCTTCAATCCTAGTTTTTTGAAGAATCTTCA